TTAATCCTAGCTAATATTTCCACCATGGGCTATCAAACCCACACAAAGTTGTAACAGTAAAGTTAAATAGCAGGAGAGGATGGAGCTGTTGTCGGAGGTAATGCCTCTGAAGGTTAAGTCAGATGGATGATGTAATCCTGAAAACATCAACATGGGAGACACATTAAATCCCTGGAAAACCTGATTTTGCCCCTACTCATTCACTCCAGCGCAGCCATGGATCCACCTTGGGGCAATGTCCAACACAGGGCTGGCGGAAAAGCCACCACCACGGTCTGTTAGCTCAGAAGATTAATTTCACTTAATTGTTAAGTCGTCTAGTTGTCACAGTCCTTGGTGTTACACACCGGGATGGATGGATGTGTGCCGTGGTGGGTCATTAGAGAGGTGTGCTTTTTACATCATTAAATTTCTACTGTGAAATAAGCTCGTCTAAAATGGGGCCGTGAGGGTCTGATCCTGCGAAGTGTCCTTTCCTCTTCAGGAGCCTTCGGGAGTGCTCAGTGCTTTTTCCGATATACCTCTGAACCAGGAGCTTTCCGTGACAAACTGCCTTTGGAAGGATTTAGGTCCCTCCCCATGCAAAATAAGCCTCTAGGACTTATTATTCCTGTGGATCCAGAGTCAAGCACGATCCTGGTATGTGTGGTACAGTGAGTTTAAGGGTGAATGATTACCCTGTGGGGAAAAAAAGCCAACAAAAAACCCCCCAAACTTGACAAAAGACTTCTGTAATAGCTGTAAAGATTTATGTAATGTGTTTTTAAAGCTCAAGTGAACCATCAAATCAATTGGGAAAAAAAAGGGAGAAAAATCAGTCTTTGTTATTAGACTGTTGAGTATAAAAGGCAATTTAGTGCTTTCGAAGCATTTGCAAGTAGCTGTAAAACAAGCACCTATTGTTCAGAGTTCCCTGTTGCTCTTTAATGGACCAGGCTCAATGAATTCACTGGAGCACATTTTTAAAGCAAAAAAGTTATCAGTATACAAGATAACCAAATGACTAAATTACCAAGTTTTGTTTGAAAATCAACAGGATAGATAACAGTCAATACCTGCTAATCCCTCCGTCGCCATTTTAACTCTTACAGTGAACAGAACCCAAGGTCCTCTTACAGAAGAAAAGATCCTAAAAGCATAAGGCTATACTGGGATTCTCAATTCTACAAGCAGAAATTAGAAATAACAAATCGGGTCCGTTGAGTTGTTCCAGGGGTGGGCCATGACACACGAAACCAACGTTGGTCTCTGGGAGTAACTTTGTGTAACTCGTTTTTGTCAGTGTCCACGTGCAAATACTGCAGAGTAAATCTTCTAATTGCAGTAGGATTTGTTTGACCTTAATGCAAGCATTGTGTGTGTGGCAATACACCTCAAAAGATACTTGATCTGTAAAAGGGAAACTTGACGGTAGACCTACAAGAAGCTCATTAGCTTCAGGAGAACTACAGCTGATTATTTTTTGAGAAGTGCATCTTTCTTCCTCAGAAATGTTGTACTTCTGAATCAGTTCACATTCTCATTCGAAAATCAAGTGTCATGACTCTCGCCTATTTTTCTGTATACTATGCAACGGAGGTGGGTGTATTTTAAAATCTATTTCTGAATGATGTTTTTATACAATGACTGATTGTGAATGAGTGAATAATTCTAAGAATGGTGTTAGAAAAATAATATGCATCTTTTTGTAAATACTGTAAGATTTTTGAAAAAAAACACCAAAAAACAAAAAACAACCAAGCCACCCCTGTAACACCTTGCCTTTCTTGTTTGATTGCTGCATCAAAGTGTGATAAACAGTGTTTGAAGCTTGTGCTGATTAATCATCAGGAAGATGAATGATAACATTGTTTAGAAATGGCAAAGTTGTCAGCATGTAAATTAGGGACATTAAATACATCACAGGAGATACTGTAGCTTGTCTATGCAGTCCTTTTTTCCAGCTGTATTTCAATATTTAACCTTTTGAACATCCACCCAGGGACATGTAATTCACACTAGCAAATGGACATGACAAACCATTTTGCTCTCCTGAGAGGTAAGCCTTGGATGCTCTCTGCAGACCCACTTCTCCAAGCCCACCTTGTTACCATCACATCAGCTGCGTGCACAGAAGTAGATGCATCGTCGCTGGTACCAGGGTTCAGTTGGTTTGGGCTTCCTGGAGCCCTCACAGTACACCCCACTTTCCAGCGCGAGGCAGTGCAAATGTCAACGAAACCTCAAAAACCAACACCAAGGGCCTCAAGGACAAAGGGCCCTACTCCCGCTTTAAGCTCCACAAACCAACAACGATGTTTGTGAAACAGGCTGATTTAATAGAAATAAGTCTCCAAACCTCATCAGTGGAATTTATCTTGTTTTCCTTACACTAACTGACCACAGGGGCAGGGAAAGTACGATGGAGGAGAAGCCAAGTCCGGGAAAGCAGCCCAGGTATACCAATGAGTCCTTTAGTTCACAGCAGGACTACCTTTGAACTGGCAGCACTACCAAGGTCTGCCCAGAGATGCTCCCCCCCCACGTCCCATGAACATGGGTCCCACAAAAAGGAGGGTGCTGAGGGACTGCCTGCATGGAGACAGCATGGGAGTGAGTCTCAGCTCCCCGTAGCAGTGCCAAAAATGGCGATTTCCCACCTAAATAAGCTGAGCCTTTTTTATCTTTGAGCTTGGCGGCCGTGTAAATGGCACGACTGGCCAGGGCTCGACAGATGAGCCCTCCAGCATCCCTCGGGATGCAGCCCACGTCACCCACACAGACCGCAGCCTCAAGGAGACACTCTCCCGTCTGCACCGGACGCTGGCCAGAGCCCTCCACAAGTACCAGGACTTTACAACTAAGGGGTGAATTAAGAGATTTTTGTGCTGCTGGCCACCTTCCTTGTCTCCTAACTGCTCAGTGGAAGTCAAAACATCCCTCAGCCGTTAAACTCCACACCTCAGGGGGAGATGCCGACCAAATGAGCTCTGGGCACTGTGAAGTGAAAGGCGTTGGAAAAGCTCCATGTAGCACTTCCCCCTCCTCCTTTTCCCTGTAAGGCTGCGGCAAGAGGGCAGGCGGCTGCAAATTGAATGGGAATTTTTAAAGAAAACATGGCCTAATGAAGGGAAAAGTTTGAAACCCTCCATTTTAGCATAATGAGTCTTTAATAGCTGTTTTGAAAGACAACTTTCACCTACATGGAAAAGCGTTTTTTGTGTAGGTACTGAAACACATTTACGTTAAAGGAAGGTTACTGTGCAATGTTCAGAAATAAGAACATTTCAGAATTACAGTTGACTGGACACTGTAATTCTCAAGCTTCATATAGATGTTTATAGCTGTATAGATTATTCTGATAGAACTTGCATTATACGGAAGTCGCTGCGGACTTGCAGACCGGCATAACGTTATCCCAAATCTGGCAGCTCTGTACCAATGGCACGGTTTCTGCTCTACCAGCCCAATTTCACCAGAAAAATCACCGCGAGCTGCCGGCAGACCTGCCCTGGCCTCCCCCTAACCCCGCCT